ACTGAGCACACGGTGCCCTCAGTGACCATGCTAAGGAGAAAGACGCACAGCCATCACCAGGTTGGAAGTGGGAGCCCAAGCGAGAGCAGCCACCATGCCCCTCCACTGCACTGACACCACCGTACCTAGCTGCATGGAGGCCTTGTCTTCTCATTTGCTTTTTTTGTTTGTTTTTTATTGATTCCTCTGCAAATGACTTGACCCCCGGGACATAACGGTCACTTTCCTAATCAAGCTCGTCGCATGCTGGTTCTCATCCTGGGTCCTGCCTGTCGGGCAGTGTTGGCTCCCAGTTTTTTGCCACTACAAACCTTATTGTAGTAAACAGCCCTGATTTTAGGCCCTTTCAAAGCACAAACTCTCACAGGTGGAGTGCCTGGGCCAAAGGATGTGTGTGATTAATGTATAAAGATGTTTCTAGTTGGGTGTGGTGGCACATGCCTATAATCCCAGTTACTCGGGAGGCTGAGGCAGGAGGATTGCAGGTTCCAGGCCATCCTCAGCAACTTAGTGAGGCCCTAAGCAACTTAGATAGACCCTGTCTCAAAATAGAAAATAAAGGGGGCTAGGGATGTGGCTCAGTGGTTGACCTTCCCACCCCACCCCAGGTGAGTTTCCAGGCCAAACAGTACTAATTCACTTTCCCACAGTGGCCATGTAACTTTCAGGAATCACTGTTCTGTTTAATTCCACCAGTTGGATGAATAACAATGCATTCGCTTATCACTTTACCTTGCCTTTGCTGTATGATCAATAAGCCTGATCAGCTCGTTCTATACTTAATTAGAACCTTGATATCTTCCTGCTTGGACTACCCATTCAGGGCCTTTGGATCCATCCTGTGATCAGAGTGGACACTCTGGGGTTTTCTGCTGTGTTAAAGCGTTGCGATTATGTGACTGTCTTTGTTGTACTTTACAGTTCTTAGAGAGTCAGATAGGACACTTCCTAGGTGACTTCTGGGACTTCCATCTTGATGGAGAAGTGTTGGAATAACTTTCGGTCCACAGCTAGTAGCTACCAGCAGCTCAGAGTGCTAGGAAAACCTACGCTTGTACAGGCCTGACAGGAACACCTGCAGGACTGAGTGCTCTGCTCTAGTGAGCCGTCTGTGAAACCACATCCTCAGCACTTGTGGTCAGAGTCGCCAAGCTACCAGACTACCAGGTCAGGAAACCGAGATTCAAGTGCTTCAGGGCGTCTGACCCCCCAACTCATAAAGCCCCCCTCCCTTAGGGACAAAGACCCTTCCAGACTGCCTTCCATCACAACAGCAACATTTAGTGCTTCCTCGAGTGCGGTTACATTAGGCATAAGATGATTGGCTTACATGTGTTAAGGTGCTTAGGTGTGATTGGCGGGCACGCCCTACCTGAACCCTAATACAGCTGTGTGTGTTCCATAATTAAATGAGCTTGAGCTTGCTGAATGTCGACTCCGGTTTCTCATCAGCCAGCTCTCACCAGCTCCCAGTGTCCCTGTGTTGACTTGACACTGCATCTCTACCCTCCTGCGACTGAGGTGACCATTGACCACAACCAGTGACAGGAACACATACACAGGACTCCTGATATCAAAGATCAGACCTAGCCAGGGACCAGCACCTGGTGACCTTTGGTGCACCTGCTACTGTCAATAAAGTTTTATTGGAACAAAGCTACCCCATTGCTTAGTATTACCTATGGCTGCTCTCTGGCAGAGCTGAGAAGTCATGGTGAGACCTCAAGGCCTGCAAAGATGAAAATTCTGATCACTGGGCTCTTTATAGAGTGAGTTTTCCAACCCTGCCCTGGAAGAGTGTGTATCTGTTCCTGTACTACTTAGCACCAGGGAACTGCTGTCCATGATCCCAAGAAACACTCTTGCTGTTAAGGATATGCTTCATTGTTAACCTTATACCACATCATCAACTTTATTTCTCTTTTTAACTGCCTTTACTCCAATTCGTTATGTTAGTTGCAAATCTATATTAATTTGATTAGTTCTGCTCTTTTATTCATTTATTTATTTTTTATTTTTTGGTAATGGGATTGAACCCAGGGTCACTTAACCACTGAGCAATATCCCCATCCCTCTTAATTTTTGTTTTAATTTTGAGACAGGGTCTTGCTAAGTTGCTTAGGACTTTGCTTAGGTACTGAGGCTGGCCTTGATCTTGCAGTCCTCTTGCTTTAGACTCCTGGGTTGCTGGGATTACAAGTGTGAACCACCATGCCCCCAGCTTACTTTATTTATTTTTAATCTTTCATTTTCCCTCATTAAGATATTTATTTTCAGTTCTGGGGCAAGTACTCTGCCACTGGAATATATCCATTACTTGTCTGTTAATTTATTTTCATAGTACTGGGATCAAACTCATGCTTACAAGCACCCTACCACTGAGCTTCATCCCCAGTCCTTTTTGTTTTTATTTTGGGACTGGGGCTTGCTATGTTGCTGAGGTTGGCCTTGAATTTGCCAACCTCAGTACCTGGGATTACAGGTGTGGGCCASTGCAGTCACTAATAAAGACATTTAATGCTTTTCCTTTTCCTTTGATTATTTCTTCTACTTGACCATATCACCCTTCAGTTTGCTCAGTTATAGGAAGCTTTTCTCTTTCAGTTCCAGTCTCTGCAGACTAGTCACTTCTGGTGGAGACTACCAGCCCTCTTCTGCAGCCCTGAGCTTCCTGCAGTGTTTGTGACAGGTGCTCATCTCTGGGCTGGGTGGTGGGCCTCATTCTTCATGTCTGTAGCCCTGCACACCCTCACTGGCTGGCTGAGCTGTGAGAGTCAGGTCCGTGGCTGTGGAAAACACACAAACCACCTATTTTGCTCTGGAACACCACAGGGACCAGTGGCAAGGTCCTCCTTATCAAGGGAGGTGGCACCCATTTCCTTCTATTGTTCTCCTGCAGCGCCCAGGAGCCTAAGTCACAGAAATGGAACCATCTCCAGGTGGCCCACAGGTCTAACTGCCCAGAGTTCTGCAAGAGTCTCTTACTCCTGACTGTTTTTGGAGGATAGGAAAATAGGTCCCAGCATGGCCCTTGTGTCAAATACCTAGATTCCTCTACTTGAAGGACTAGGGAGGTGGGAGGGGGAGTGGTCATGGGTCACCTTCCCACACCACACATAGCTGCCCTCCCTGAAATCCCAAATCCTAGAAGTTCCAGTGTGAAAGGAAGGAGAGACATGAGCATGATCGTCAGGGGGCATGCACTTTACACTGGTGGACAGTGAAATCCAGAGACCACTGGGAAGGAATGGATAGGAAGATTCGGAATACAGAAGAGAAAGGGGATATCTGGAAATGCTAGGCCTTGAAGAAGCCAATCAGAAGTAGACCCAAGGAACTTGTCCAACCTCAGGAAGAAGGGCGGGTTCTTTCAGTACTCACTTTGAACTGCTGAGGAAAAGGAAAGAAATGGATAAAGGAAGCTTGTAGAAAGCAGGGAGGAAGTTCGGGCTGGATGAGCCCATGATAATATGTGAATTTTCAGTGTTAAAACAGTGGTTTGGGCTGGGGATGTGGCTCAAGCGGTAGCGTGCTCGCCTGCCATGCGTGCGGCCCGGGTTCGATCCTCAGCACCACATACAAACAAAGATGTTGTGTCCGCCGAGAATTAAAAAATAAATAAATATTTAAAATATTAAAAAAAAAAAAAAACAGTGGTTTGTTCTAGGATCATCCCTTGTCTTAGCTGTCCACGGGCTGCGTTGACTGTGTTGCGCATCGTGGCCTAGTGAGTGGATGGGTCTGGCATTGGGAACTCCTCACAACACCCACACAGGGATTGACCACCTGATGCAGGTGAACCTCTCCCTCAGCTCTGACCAAGGTCCCACACAGCACCTGAGATGGGTGTGACCTGCCAAGATGCCAGGCAACCTGCTGACTGCAAGATATCATGAGACAAGACCCTGCCCTTGAAACCTTATCCCTGCCTTTGATGCCCCTAAAGAAACCACTAGAGTCATCTTTCCTTTGTCTATTCCAGCGCCCCTGTGGACTAGATCTATCAGGAGCTCTGCTTGATGTAAATACATTGTGTTTTGTTCCTCACCAATTGAGACTCCAAGTTTCCAGGTGGCTTACACCCTCCTCAGTCCCCAACAAGATGCTGGCCATCTCCCGTTAATCCCTGAAAAAGGAAGGATGGGGCAGGGAGGTGCTGCACGTGTTAGTGTTAGTCCCTTTTCCCCCAACAACCCAGAGTGGTGGTGAAAGGCTGTAATCACAGCAATGGGGGAGCCTGAGACTGAGGCTGGAGGATTTCAAATTCAAGCCAGCCTTAGCAACTCCCGGCTCATCTTGTGTGAGGATCACAGTTTTTGTTCCCCAATATCTAGCTCCACCCTGAGCACACAAGAAATGGTCTCTTGGAAGACACAGCCACGAAGGACCAMCAGAGTCCAGAGGATGCCCTACTTGGAGCACTGGCTGCATCCACCTGTCAGGAGCACCCCAAACTTGCAGACAGCAGCCTGACTTCTGTGGCTCCGGACCCCATTCAGCCATTTTTGAGTTTACATAAATGGAATTCTGACCGACGCATCCTTTCGTCTTCTTGTGCTCAGTATTATGTGTGTGACGTTCATCCTTTTCTTCCTTTTTTTTAGGTGGTGTGGGGGATGAACCCCAAGCCTCCGGGTGCCAGCAGTGGTCTGCCGCTGCATCCTCAATCTTGACCCATTTTTTACACAAAGCAGTTTTTCTTCTCTCATGTTGTGTTGGATAAAGACGCCCAGTTCAGCTCCTTCCTGTGCGGACGCCGGTGCGGAGTCCGCTCTGGGACTGTCACACGCAGTGCCGTGAGGAGCCTCTCTGACCACAGCTGCACCACCTCCAGGCGGAGTTTCGGTGAGGAACAGGCCCGGAGTGGAACCGCCGGTGCGGGGCGGGCGACTCCACGAGGCGCCTTCCAGCGCTCACCCTGACTCACACCCCGCGCCCGGCCCGGCCGCCGCCCGAGGAAACACGAGAGGTCGGGGCGAAGGAGGAGGTCGACGAGGGACTGAGTCCGCGGGGGGGGGGGTGGCGTCCCACGCACGGCGCTGACGTCGCGGGGCGGCGCGGGGTGGAAGGTCGTGAGCTCCCGCTCCCTTCCTCACGGCGGCCGGCCGGTCGAGCCGGGACCTCTCGGGACGCCAACATCCGGGTGCCGAGGGGCGCAGGCGCAGTCGCCGCAAACATGGCTGCGGCCGGCCGCCGGCGGTGAGTCCCGCCGCGCCCCTGCACCCCTCGGTGCCTGAGTTTCCCCAGCGGGCGGCGTGGGAGGGGAGCCGCCGGGCGTCTGTGTCGCGGCGTGCCGGTAGGCGGCTTTCCGCGGGTCGGGGCGCGGCGGGCCCGCCGGGGCTGGCGTGGGACCGGCGGCTGCGTCTGCCCGGCTTTTCCTGCGCTCCCTCCGGCCGGTGCGCCGCGGTGGCGTCTCGCCGCGGCCTCCTGGCGCCAGGCCACCCTGGGCGCGGGCCCCCGGGGTCCTGTGGCGGGACCTGCCTCGCCGCGTTCCTGTGGGTCCAGCGGACTTCGCGGCTGCCTCCCGCGGCTCAGTGGTTTCCTTCTGGGCGGCTCTGCGCCGCCTCTGTTGACTTCCGTTTCTATAGAAACGCAGCCAGACTGTGCGGGGACTCCCAGACTGACCCGTGCCCTGGCGCCCTGAGATCGCCGCGCCTTTCCTGGGGTCCATCCTTTTGGCCACGCGTGATCCGTCTTCTGTGCTGCACTTCAGAGTAAGTTGTAGATGACACTTGTCAGACACCTTCCTCTGCTTMGCATGGGTTAGAGTTCAGGATTGTTTCTAATTTTTTAAGGAAAAACTGACTTTCAGTGAAATGCCTAGATCTTCGTGGCATAGTCGGACTGATTTTGACAAAATTACCACCATGGAAAGATCCCTTATTCTTTGCCAATTTAAAAAATGTGGTTGGTAGGAACTAGGCTTGAAAAAATTTTTTTTCAGTATAGAGAATTGAACCCAGGGCCTTGTACATGTTAGGAATGCTCCACTGAGCAGGACCCCAGCCCTAAAAATGTTTTAAGTACCATGCTTTGTTCTTCCCTCCCCTATAACAGGTAAATTATTCTTTTCTTTCTCTCTCTCTCTCTCTCTTTCTTTCTTTTTCTTTTTTTTTTTTTTTTGGTAGTATTGAACCCAAGGGCACTTAACCACTGAACCATATCCCCAGACCTTTTTAGTACTTTTTTTTCGTGGGGGTAGGTACCTGGGATTAAACCCAGGGGCGCTCCACCATTGAGCCACATACCCAGCCCTATTTTTTTGTATTTTATTTAGAGACAGGGTCTCAATGAGTTCCTTAGTGCCTTGCTGTTGCTGAGGTTGGCTTTGAACTTGCAATCCTCTGCCTCAGCCTCCGGAGTGGCTCGGATTACAGGCGTGCACCACTGTGCCCGACTTAGTTTTTATTTTGAGACAGGGTTTTGCTTAGTTACTGAGGCTGGCTTTGAACTTGCAATCCTCCTGCCTCTGCCTCCTGAGCTGCTGGGATTACAAGTGTGCCCCACTGTGCTCCGTGAATTTTACTCTTTTTCTATTGCTTGTTTTCTTTCTACACCTAGCTTTCCTGCCTCCTCCACTCCGTTCCCCCGCCCTTCCCCCCAGTCTTTTATTTTTAAAGTTTTACACCTGCAAAAAAGCTGCAGGAACAGTTTAGTGAACACTTGTAATGTCATCCAGGTTCTCAGGTTATTAACAGTTTACCACATAAGCTTTACTTTTTTACCTTTCTAAAACACATGCACACATGTACTTTTTTGTATTTTACACGTATACAGAGTTGCACAGGCTGGTGTGATACAGGTGAAAATTTATATACACTTACTTTTTAATTTTTATAATTTTTTATTTATTTATTTTTATGTGGTGCTGAGGATCGAACCCAGGGCCTTGCACGTGTGAGGCAAGTGCTCTACCGCTGAGCCATAACCCCAGCCCCACATACACTTACTTATGTTGGCTTTATCACTGAAAGTGTATTGTGGACATCATGACACTTCACCCTGAAATATTTTCACCTGCACTTCCTAAGCACAAGAACATTCTTGAACAAAACTAAAGTGTCGTTGTGACATCCAAGTTCTGTATTATTGGTAAGCAATTTTTGTGTAATGTAAAATCTGCATGTAGCTAAGTTGTTTTTGTATTTGGTTTGAACTAGAATCCAGTCCAGTCCAGTCTCAATGTTAAATTTAGTTTTCATGTCTTTTTAGTTTCCTTCAATCTGTGATCTTATTGTTGTTGCTTTTTCTTTTAAGACATCAACTTTTTTTTTTTTTAAGAGCCAACTGGTTATTTTGTAGTTTGTCCTCTTAGTGTTCAATTGATATTCTCATGATTAAATTCAGGTTCTCCATCTTTCACAGGAAATTAAGTGAAGTCATACCCTTTTTGGTGCGCCACATGAGGAAGAACATGAAGCTGGTTGTGGTCAAACTTTGTCATGTGGTTAAAGACCTGTCTTCCAGGGCTCTCCACCTTTTCCCTATTGTACTTATTAAATCATCCTTGGGGTAACACTTTTAGTAATTAAAAAATTTTTTTTAATACGTGTTTTTAGTTTCTGATGGGTCTTTATTTTATTCATTTATTTATATGAGGTTCTGAGAAGCAAACAATGCCTCACACATGCTAGGCATGCACTCTGCCACTAAGCCACAACCCCATCCTCAATAATTGTTATTTTTTAATTTATGGTAGGTTATTTATTCTTTTTATTTATTTATTTTTATTATAGTTGTAGGCGGACAGCATGCCTTTATTTGTTTAGTTTTTTATGCTGTGCTAAGGATCGAACCCATTGCCTCACACATAGTGGACAGCGCTCTGCCACTGAGCTACAGCCCCAGCTCATGTTATTCATTCATATATAGTCATATGTTTCAAATCTTTTTTATATGTTTAGTGCTTTTTGTGTATTAAGACTCTTCATCCTGGGGCTGGGGCTGTGGCTTAGCAGTAGAGTGCTTGTCTAGCATGTGTGAGGTGCTGGATTCGATCCTTAGCACCATGTTAAAAAAAATGAATAAATAAAATAAAGGTATCATGTCCAACTACAACTAAAAAATAATTTTTTTTTTTAAAGAGAGAGTGAGAGAGGAGAGAGAGAGAGAGAGAGAGAGAGATTTTTTAATATTTATTTTTTAGTTCACGGCGGACACAACATCTTTGTTKGTATGTGGTGCTGAGGATCGAACCCGGGCCGCACGCATGCCAGGCGAGCKCGCTACCGCTTGAGCCACATCCCCAGCCCTCACTTTCTTAATGACATTCTTTGAAGCATAAAAGCTTTTAATTTTCATGTAATGCAATTTGTTAACTTTTGAGTCTTTCTTTTTTGTTCCTGTTGTTGCTTACACTTTTGGTATTATAGCAACTTTTCCAAAGAAATCAAAAGAAAAACTAGGTGTTAGGGCCTAGTTTTTATTTAGAATTTATGCCTGTGATCTTTTCTAAGATTTGTATTGTTTTATCTCTTTATTGAGACGTGTGATCCATCTTAATTTTTGTGTGATGTGCACTCTTTTTTTTAATCAATATTTTTATTTGTTTATTTTTATGTGGTGCTGGGGATTGAACTCAGGGTTTCATGTGTTCAAGGCAAGTGCTCTACCGCTGAGCTACAACCCCAGCCCATGTTTTTTAAACATTTTTTTAGTTGGGCACGATACTTTATTTTGTTTATTTTTATGTGGTGCTGAGGATCGAACCCAGTGCCTTATGTGTGCTAGACGAGCGCTCTACCACTGAGCCACAACCCCAGCCCCCATTGCACTGTTTTTGATGAGTATTTTGCCCTGTGCTTCTCACCATCTTTATATATATATATATATATTTGTTGATGGAACTTTATTTATTAATTTATTTATATGTGGTGCTGAAAATCGAACCCACTGTCTCACACATGCTAGGCAAGTGCTCTTCTACTGAGCTAAAATCCTAGCCCCCTCACTATATATATTTTTTTTTTAAATTTATCTTTATGTGGTGGTGAACATCAAACCCAGTGCCTCATATGGGCTAGGCAAGCACTCCACCACTGGGCCACTACCCTAGCCCTGCCCTTCACCATCTTGAAAGGCATTTTACAGGTAGTGTTAAATATCCATATAACTGAAAAAGTTCCAAAGCTCTAAGTTCATGCAAGGAAAGTGTTTGTTTTTAAAAACACCTGTTTCTGTTTGGATATGTCATCTAGAAGACATAGGAACAGTCAGGTGCTAGAGAATATGTGTTAATCTTCTGTAAAGTTGGATTAGATGAAGGAGCAGGTGCTGCCGGGGAACAAAACTTAAACCTCCCTAGGTGTATTACAAAGTCATTAAAAAAGTAACTCAGTAAGGCTTGTGAATGGAGATATGTAGTACCCAAATAGTGCAATTTGTTGACTTTTTAGGTAGATGAGGATGGTACCTCTGTGGAAACAGCTCTTGGCACATAGGACTCGAGGCATCCCAGGATGTCTTACCCACAGGGCAGGGTCGGTCTCCCTGTGTCTTACCTAAGCAGCACGGTTCTCCAGCTTTGAAGTCCCACAGGGCTGAGACAATGCTCATGTGCTTTTTTTGGGGGGGCGGGGGTGGAACCTAGGGCTTTGTGTGTGCTAGGCAAGCACTTTACCATTGAGCCACACCACAGCCCAGCATCCTGTGTATACAAAGATTTGGATTAAACTTCTCCAGTGGTAATGGATAAGAGGACAGGTTGGTTAGGGAAAGAATCAGCAATACTAGGGTCTCCAGACAAGTATGTACAGTGTCAGAGGAGGAGTAGGAAATAGAGAGCCCCCAAATATGTGAACAACATTGTGATGAGTTTTAAACAACATTATTTTTGCCATTGTACTGCCAAAAGTATATAAATGTATGGGAGGGGGCTGGGGAGTAGCTCAGGGGGAGAGCACTTGCCTAGCACATGTGAGGCACTGGGTTCGAGCTCAGCATCACATAAAATAAATAAATAAATAAAACAAAGGTATTGTGTCCACTTACAACTATAAAAAAATTTAAAAAATAAATATGTGGGAGGGCAACAATGTAAGATATTTTTAAGACAATCTTAATTTATGAAGTTCAGTAAGATTCTTGCATGAATTGCCTTAATGTAATGCCATTATCCTTAATCTGTCCTAATGTCTTCTATATACTTGTGATGATTTGTTACTTCACTGTGGAACTCAGGTCCTTGTCATCTGAGAATGGCTTAGTTGGTTTAGACTGCTGTAGGAAAATGTCATAAACTCTATGTCTTATGAACAACAAAGTTTTGTTTCTTAGAGATCTGGGGACTAGGAGGTCCAAGATCAAGGCAACAGAGGCCTTGGTGTTGGGTGAGGGTCTGCGTTCTGGGTCCTTGCTTGTCCTCATGTGGTAGAAGGTGGGTAATGGAGCTCTCTGGGGCTGCTGCTTTTTTCTATGACACAGTTTATATATTTCAAATGGACAAAAAAAATTTGTTTTATTTACAGTAACCTAAGATAAATTGCCTTTGTGAGCTTTCTTTCCAGACCTTGAGATCTATAAGACATATCTAGAAAATTTACTATTGTGGAAAATGAAGACTGCCTGTAGTTTTTTTTTTTTTCCTTCACAAATGGCTGTAACACTATCCTTTTGGTTCAGGGACTTATTATTTTCTTTAGGCATCATTAAGTCCTGCAACTCTTACAGAATAACTTTGACGATATATAAATTCTGTCATTTTGCTAGCCAGTTC